AGGGCCAATTTGGGAACTTTTTAAAAAATATGTTGAGATAGCATTATTTAACAATACTAAATGTGATTTAGGGGAATAAGTTCAGTCTTAGATGAACATTACCATACGGCATTACCATATCACCCCCACTATAGCACAGTCCAAAGCATATGCTATCTGAAACATAGTGCTTTACCTAGGCCACTGGACCCTACTTTATCCTTCCCCCTCCCTCTAGTAGTCTCAAATTCTGCAGTCATATTTCTAAGGTTAGTTTGGTCAGTTCCTTTATTTCTTTAGATTTAAAATACACATTAAATCATCCAGTATTTGTCTTTCTCCATATGACTGACTTCACTTAGCAAATTCCCTCTAGTTCCCATCTATGTTGTTACACATGGCAAGAGGTCGTTTTTTTTTTTTTTAACAGCTGAGTTAGATAGATAGATAGAAGACAGGAGAGAGAGAGAGATACCACATTTTCTTAATCCATTGCTCTGTCGATAGGCATTTAGGTTGTTTCCACAACTCAGATATTGTAAATAGTGCTGCATGAACATGGGAGGAATTTATTATCAGGTAAAGGGCAGGGATGAGGGGGGGAAAGGCGTGCAGGGAGGGATGGCTTCTCAGATAAAGGAATCAAGTGGACCAAATCATAACAGCAAAAAGGAATACCCATGTTTGTTCATCATAAGTGGCAAGTGCCACAGAGGGAATGTACTGGGAACTACCTGGGATGGACACTGGCTCTGCTATTTGCTAATTCTGTGAAATTTGGCGCTTTGTAAAGCAGGGATAATAATTAATAATACCTAATGCACAGTGTTGTTTAGAAAATCTGCATTGCTACATTTGAAACACTTAGAATTGTGCCTGGCATATAGTAAGAATGTAGATGTTAGCTCTTTTTTATTGTAAAGTGAGTTATATATAGTATAATCAGGCTGAGAAATTAAGCAATAGTCAATCAAATCTTGGCAGTTTTGTCTGCTAGAGTAGCAGGTTTGGGCTTCATGTTATGAATACTAGGGAGTCAAGGAGAAATTTTAACTAAAAATGACATGAGAGAGTTTGTGTTTTTGCTATATCACTCTATTTGGTAAAAGGTAGAGCTATGGGGAGTGAAATAACATAAATCAATCAATAGGTTACTGCATTAGTGGAGACCTGAATGAAGGTAATGATAGCAGGGATGGATGGGAAAAATGATTAAATAAATATTTAAAATAAATCTGCAGACGTTTATTGATTGGGTGTGAAGGATTATGAAGAGGGAAGAGTCGGGCTCCAGTTACAGACATATTTAAAAATCAATTTAAATTTTTAAGTAAGGTTAATGGGAAAATAATAAAATCATCTGCACTGACAGGTGAGTATCTTTAAGAAAAAAAAAAAAAAGACTTCATCTTTTACAACCTAGAAACAAGATTGCTACGCCTAGCAAAAAAGACTTATTAGCATTTTCAAATCCTTCCTAATGGCTTCCACTGCTTCGCAGATTTTCACAAGTCATAGATACGCTAGGAATAGATCAAAGATTCTGTCTTTTCATAATTCTATAAATATGTATCTGACTCCCTCTCTTATCTGTTGCTATTTGATTTGTTTCACTGATCTTCCTGCTTTATGTCACTTCTCACAATTGGTTGATAATTCAGATCACTGTACTCCACTGCTGCACTATAAAAATCTTTTTAGACAATGATCTTCCATTTGGCTTATGTAAGATAATTTACACCATGTTTCCATGAATAGATGTACATGCAGAAGCATTTGATTTTTCTTGAGTTCCCATAGTCAGTCATTCTGAGAAGTCCATGTATTTTGCTTATTATCTGAGATAATTTTGAAGGATATCTCATGGCTCTCTGTATTTCAAGGAATTCTGCACAGAGGTGGACTACCTGGCCCAGCAGCAGACTCAGGACTTTGCTCTAGCATTATGGTCATTCTGATTGGTCAGTGCTGGTGCCATTTGGCTAAGTATAATTAATATCACTTGCTTGTACTCATGAATCAGGAGCTTTTTCACCAAGGGATTGTGTTTCAGCAACAGATTTATCTTAAACAGTTACTTGATTCTTTTCTTTAAAAAGATTTATTTATGCATACAAGAACTGGGGTGTAGGCCAGAGGTGCAGGGGTGGGAGGTGGTTGTGAAAGGATTCTCCAGAGACAGAGTGGGGAGCAGAACAGGTAGATCGACTGAAATGCACTGCTGAAGGGAGCAGTGGGCAGAACAGGAGAGGTCTGCCGTGCCATGTGGGTCAGCTCCCTGGCTGGGATCGAACTTCCATTGCAGTGGCTTGGCAGTAGCTTGAGAGCGCCACCAGAGAGGCCCGATTTGATTCTTCCAGTAAAAATCTTTTTTTTAAACTTCAGACTTTTCATCCATAAGTAAGTTGTTGTTACTATTAAAAACACTAAGCCCTATTTGACAGTGGAGAAGGTAAGTAAAAGGTAAGTAAAAATCTACTTTTAGGGGAAATAAGTTTAATCTTGAAAAAAAAATTTTTTAAAGATTTATTTGTGCATACAGAATTGGGGTACAGGCCAGAGGTGCAGGGACGGTGAGAGGATTCACCACACACAGAGCGGGGAGCAGAACAGGCAGATAGATGAAGTACACTGCTAAGGGGAGCAGCGGGCGGGTCAGGAGAGGTCTGCCACGCCATGTGGTCATATCTGGGACAGGCAGGGATCAAACTCATGCGGAAGTGGCTTTAGCTTCTCAGTGCTGTGCTTTAATGTGATGTGCCACCAGGGAGGGCCCCTAATCTTGAAAAATTTTTAGAGGATTAAATGATTCTGCTCTATAGATGCACTTGTAGGTATAGGTGCCTGGGTGGTTGGAAACTTTAAGAAAAGCTTAGAAAATTGATTTGTAAAGTAACATCTATAATATATTTGTTTTAGTTTCTGATAGTTTACATCCTTTGTTATATCCCACTGGCACTGATTTTTAAAAAGGATAACTTTAATAAAAACAGCAATATTTAATAATTTCTGCTCTCACACACAGCTATAAAACCTTCCTCAAAATAGGGAGTTTCTTACCATTTCCACTAAGAAAACCTATACTTTTATTCTTAGTTTTAGTTATTGCAATTTTTTATTTCTTATTTTCTGCAGGTATTCTTGGCGTCACCAACTAAGGGAATTTAAAAGTGAATATCGAGTTGTAGCTCTGGATTTGAGAGGCTATGGAGAAACAGATGCGCCCATTCATCGAGAGAGTTATAAATTGGACTGCCTAATTACAGATATAAAGGACATTTTGGACTCTTTAGGTAGGTTGTTTTTAAAAAATATTAATTCTTTTCAAGGGGCTCATTGTCAGCAAATTGTGTATTGAGAAACTCATTTCTTGGAAGAAGGTATTTTCCATATATATCAAGTATGATCTAGAATCTGTCACCATGGTTTCAGGTATAAAGACTGAAATATTTATATAGGGAACTTAAAATAACACATCCAGAGTGACTATTCAGTGTATCAGCCAAATACAACTTTCAAATTTTGTTTTTAAAGCTAGGCGTATGATGTTATTTATTATTTTCAGAGCCAATTACTGGAAATCTTACTGTTATACTCAGAAAATTTATTTCTTTAGAACCAAGTCCTAAAAATTATTTTAAAAAACATCATATGAGGCAGACATTTGCATTATCTCTCTTGTATTGACCAGCTAGTGCCACAATACACCACCCCAAACTCACTGGCATACCACCTCTGCTCATGGGTTACAGCTTCACTATAGGCTCGACTGGCCACCTTTGAGTCCCCACTACAGGTCAGGCTACAGGTCCAGCTAGAACTGGCTTCTTGCTGTGCTTTGTAGAAGCTAAAGGGGAATGAGCTCCTGGCTACCTTTTCTCCTGGTAATGGCCAGTGGCCAGAGGGTGAGCACAGCATTACAAGTTTCCATTCGCCAAAGCAAAACATATGGTTGAGCCCAAAGTCGAGCCACACACTGACCGTAAAACCAAAGCAAATCACATGGCCAAACCTCACATCAAAAGTGCAGTGAGGCCCTCCATGGTGGCGCAGTGGGTTAAAGCACAACACTGTGGCGCTATCGCAGCCACTGCAGCATGAGTTCAATTCCCAGCCAGGAAGGTGACCCACATGGCGTGGCAGACCTCACCAGCTACCCCTCAGCAGTGTATTTCATTCGATCTGCCTGTTCCGCTCCCCACTCTGTGTCTGGTGAGTCCTGTCACCGCCCCCTCACCTCTGCCTGTACTCCAGTTCTGTTTTCATAAATAAATAAATCTTAAAAAAAAAAGGGGCAGTGAGAGAAAAGGGAGTAAATATATCTTAACTGTAATCTAATTCACTTCATCCCTTTGTTGACTAAAGTCCAGCTGCTGCCATCATTATGTTAATGGAGCCAGTATAGTGAGAAACACCAGGAAATCAAAGGCTCTTTCTGCAATTTCTCTAATCATCTAATGAGATTATGGTAGCTCAGGTGAATATTCTTAGAGGAGGAAAAACATGATGAAATCTGGGAATGTCAATGCCTTCTAATAATAATTCTGATCACAATAAAATAGATTCAGAGACACTGATTCCAACAGCCATTTTTCTTTCATCTTTTGTGGTAACTTAATCACACCTGGTCTAAATCCGTTACCTCTTAAGTTTGTGGACAAATTAATAATGTAAATTAATGTATATGTGCATTTGTGTATGTGAATGCAGCGATGCTAACATAATGGTAGGGGTGGTGGTGAGAAATACTGGAAAAAATAATTTTAACTATTCTAGGAATAAATTGAAATTTATCCATCCATATAAAGGAAATCCTTTAAGAATCTCCATCAGTTGTTATTTTAACCCAATTCAAGTCACCATAATAATTTCTTGAAGTGAAACTGTAACTGGTGCTAGAATTAAAATTTCCCACTAATTCTTTTGGCTTCTGTAGTGGAAGCAAGATGCACTGGGTAGGCTGGAGGATCAGGGATCAGGATGTGGGAGACTGGAGGTTGGCAAGCCCTCCAGCCCCCAGAGAATCTTTACTTTCTCTGGGCTCTTCTGGTGTCTCATGTGCTCAGCCTCCAGGCTCAGATGTGCCCACTCAGGCATGCCCACACCATGCTCCCGGTGTCCACCATCAGACACATGTCCTGGGCCCACACTCCCCAGCACCCCTGTGTTCAAGCCACAGGCTACAGCCACAGTGGCTAATGAACACAAAAGCCTGAGTCATCTTTACCCTACAGCTTCACTGTTTCAAATTAGTGGCATTTTACGATGCATTGGATTTGTGAAGCTAGGGAGAAAATCGATGCTTCTTGGAAATAAAAATTACTAGTTGGACAGAGAAGGGTCATTTATGATTTTACTGTAACTAGAAACTTCTCAATATTCAAAAATAACTCTTTCTCACTTTTGACCTAATTATATGTAGCCTTTATTATGTTTTCCCAACTCAAATGCATGGGACCAGATCTAAGATGGTTATTTCAGACTCTGTGGAAGAGAGTCTGTATTTGTAAGTCTAGAATGCAGCTTGGTTGAGTAGTAAAATTTCCTAGAACACTAGAGACACCTGCACCCTCATGTTTATTGCTGCTTTATTTACAATAGGAAAGACATGGAATCAACCTGTATGCCCAAAAGTATATGACTGGATTAAAAAGGTGTGGCACATATACACAATGGAATATTCAGCAACCAAAAAATAAAAAAATAAACATGTGCCTTTTGCAGCAACATGGATGGAGCTGGAAGGGATCATGCTTAGTGAAATAAGCCAGAAAGAAAAACATCGGATGGTTTCACTAATAGCAGGAGCATAAAGGAATGGGAGCGGGGAGGAATAATAATGAACAACTATATACCAGAGATATTTTACGGGGGTGGAGTGGGGAATGGGATAAAAAATGGGGTGGGGGAGTGCACGGGATTATGGCAATGGCACACAGGTGAATTGGTGATGGGAAGTCCATGGGGATTACAACTGAGATGGGAAAAGTCACAAAATGATGTAAAAATAAACTATTGTAATAAAATAAAATTTTAAAAAATCAACATTTAAAAAAAATATTTTCCTAAAACACCACCTAAGTAATTCAGACATACAGGTGTTAGAAGCACCACTCAATATGGAAACGAAGTACGTGAAGAAGGTAAGATAGTGGAAAGATCAGCTTCTGAGGCAGCCTGTTCTCTGTGAGGCAGTGATGCTCACTCTTGTTTCTTTGCAATGCTGTTAATATTTATTTCTTGATCACAGGCTATAGTAAATGTGTTCTTATTGGCCATGACTGGGGGGGCATGATTGCTTGGCTAATTGCCGTCTGTTATCCTGAAATGGTGATGAAGCTTATTGTTATTAACTTCCCTCATCCAAATGTATTTACAGGTGAGTTTAAAACTTTCATGAAAACATCTTTGCCATTGTGATAATTCACTATTACCATGGAAACATTGGATAAACAACAAATTGCGATTAATATTTAAAAAATCAGATGACTAAAATAGGATATTACTTTGCAATATCAAATATGTTGGCTTTAAGCCTCCCTGAAGAGCCTAAGAAAATTTATTGTCATATTTGCTTAATGATTTTATTCATTTTTAGAAAGCATTGAGGGAGGGAAAGGGGAAATGCACTGACATTACAATGACTCTTCACAGCTTTGAGAAAATTCTCCCTTTGCCTGACTGCTTTGACTATCAGGAATGGCAGTATTCATTTTTTTTTTTTAGATTTATTTATTTATGCGTACAGAACTGGGGTTCAGGCCAGAGTTGTGTAGAGGGGTGGTGAGAGGATTCACCAGAGACAGAGTAGGGAGCAGAACAGGCAGACTGAGGAAGGACACTGCTGAGGGGAGCAGCGGGCGGGTCAGGAGAGGTCTGCCCAGCCATGTGGGTCAGCTCCCCGCACAGGATCAACCCCTGAAGTGGCTGGGCCAGCTTTGTAGTGCTTCATTTTAACCCACTGTGCCACCAAGGAGGTCCCAGAGTGGCAATATTCTTTGAAGCATCAGTTACCAGATTTTGGTCTCAGGACTCCCTTATATTCTTAAAAATTACTAAAGGCCCCATGGCTTTTTGTTTATATGGGTTATAGCTATACTGTATTAGTAGTGAAAATGAGAATTTAAAATATGTATGTATTCATTTTTTAAAAAGAACAGATTCAGTACATGTAACAGATAACATTTTGATGAAAGTGATTATCTTCTAAAACAAAATCTCAGTAAAAAGAGTGTCACTTTTACATTTTTGCAAACCTCTTTCATTTTTGGCTTAATAGAAGGCAGCTGGATTCTCAGATCTGCTTCTGCATTCAAGCTGTTGCAATATGTTGCGTGAATTGAAATATGTGAAAAAATCTGGCCTCACATAGGTTTGTAATTGGAAAAGGAAGGAGTATTTTAATAGCCTTTTCTGATAACTATGGATTTTCTTCTTTAATGTAACACCAAACTCAAAAATTAGTAGTTTCTTCAAGCTTAGTAACAATATAGAATCTGATGTCATGTTAATGAACTTTTTGTACTCTGTTACATTAAAATCCATTGATCTTTCTAGAGATTTGAATGCATTTTTTTTTTAAACTCATGCATGATTTTGCTTTATCATGCACTGGAAGACATTGGTTCATTGAGTTTTGCAGATCATCCACCCATTGACATATTTTATTATACAAATCAGAGAATCACATTCACCATAATCACCCCAATCTCATTTTTAAAAAGCCTTTGAGTATTGCAAAACTGTCAAGTCACAGTTGCAGATACAAGTTTCCAAAATTCTTTCATCGGAAAGCTTGAATTTTATCATTGGCGACAAATCCTGTTGATTGTTTTCCCTCAAGTGACAAACTCGCTTTGTTCCTTTTCAAGAGAGGAGCCCAAATTTCCAAGTTTGACTGATAGTTCAGTAGTCAGTCTTTCAAGTAAATGGAGCGCACCAGGAGTACAGAGCAGTCAACTGAACTCAACTTGTCAGGGCCTTTCCTGCAGTCATTGTCGTGCATGTGCAAATGAATTGCATTGTTTGTGTTTTCTGTTTCATCACAAGGAATGTTGAAAAGATGGGTTCTCAAATGCCAATTAATTTTTAATACAATTTTTATTTCATCAAGGACAGTCTTGAGTGCAAATGGCACTTAATTTTACTTTTGTATGTATTTATTTACTAATTTTCCCACAAGTGTGTGTTAGTGAAGAATACAAATACTATATTTGCTATTGTTACTATTCTCAGCACGGCTCTTTGATTTGTGCTAAATCAGCAGTGGTTTTATTGACCATACTCTTGTGCCATCAGTGTAAATGGTAAACCACGTAAAAAAGCTGATCATGTCTTAGTATTATTTTGAAATAATTTTGACTACCTAGATTCCTTAAAAGGGTCATGGTGCTTCCCTGGGGGCCACATAAACTATACTTTGAAACTGTGATTTAAAGGGAATTTTTAAAAAGAAAAACAAAAAACTTGGGTGATTAAAAACCTATGAACAAAAAATAAGGCATGTTTTTATTTGGCTTTGGCAAAAATTACCATTTTTGTCCTCTTTAAATAACCTGGTAAGGTTTTCTTTGCTTCAGATACTGCTACAACACACAGAAGACCTCTAGAGAAAAAAAAATTCAGAACATTTATTTCTATTTCTTCCTAAAAATTAAACAAATGAGGAAGAAACTAGTTACATACATACTGTGTATATAAGGGTAAGAGTTGAATTTTCTTTTTTAAGATTTATTTATTTGTGCATACAGAACTGGGGTACAGGCCAGAGGCTCAGGGGCAGCGAGAGGCTTCACCAGAGACAGAGTGGGGAGCAGAACAGGCAGATCGACGAAGTACACTGCTGAGGGGAGCCAGCGGGCGCTGAGGGGAGCAGCGGGCGGGTCAGGAGAGGTCTGCCACGCCATGTGGTCACCTCCGGGGCAGGCGGGAATCGAACTCATGCGGAAGCAGCTTTAGATTCTCAGTGCTGTGCTTTAACCTGCTGCGCCACCAGGGAGGGCCAAGAGTTGAATTTTAGCTGCATATTCAGTGGACCTATTTTCTGTGGAGGCAGTGGAATGGAGGCGTGGGTTTCAAATATGAAACTAAGATTTATCATATATTTTCAATTGCTTTAGGCAAAAAAAGTCATGTTACATGTTTGTTCAATCATCCAGGATACGGACAAAGTTTGATTGTTTCAGCAAGAGATTACCTGGAATATTTCTGGAACCATCTTTGCAATAATAGATTTAACCCTAGTCAGGTCAATATAAGGTCTTTGAGTAATATGCTGGTATTTTTCACATTAATTGTATTGATATCTCTTAAAGCTGGGCTGAATAAATCCTGTTCACTGGTGACTTTACAAAAAATATAGAGTAATGGGCCCTTCCTGGTAGCTCAGTGGGTTAAGGTGCAGCACTGCAAGCTAGCAAGTTCGATCCCGGCTGCAGAGGTGATCCACATGGCTGGCAGACCTCTCCTGCCCCACCCGCTGCTCCTCTCAACATGTACTTCCTCCATCTGCCTGTTTTGCTCCCCACTGTCTCTGGTGAATCCTCTCACCACCCCTGCACCTCTGGCCTGTACCCCAGTTCTGTGTGCATAAATAAATAAATCTTTTTAAAAAATTAGAAAAAAAAATAGAGTAATGCTCCAACTACCTAAAAAGTGTATTTCTAAAAACTCTAGCCATGTTGAATATAAAATAATATGAAAAAAACCTCTATAGCAAAGAGAAGTATAATATACAATATACAAGTTCACATTTTTAATACAGATAATTACATCACACTCCAGTATAAAGATTCACTGTCTTCCCAAAGCTCTTAAAATTCGGGTCCTACTGGACTCTACTGGCTTTTATGCCTTCTTTCACACTAGCCTTCTGTCTGCTTTTTAAATGTGTCAAGTCTAGGATTTATGTTCAGTTCTGGAAGGTTCTTCCTAGATTTTTACATTGTTGATTCCTTCTGTCATTCAGATTTCAGCCCACATATCCCATTCCTAGAGAGGCTACTCCAACCCCTTCCATTAAAAAAGTTTCTCCAGGGCCTCCCTGGTGGTGCAGGGGTTAAGTCTCCGTGTTACCAAGCTGTCACCAGCCACTGCAACATGAGTTCCATCAGTCCACATGGAACAGCACACCTCTCCTGTAATGCCCCCTGCTCCCCTCAACAGTGAATTTTAGTAGATCTGCCTGTTCTGCTCCCCACTCTGTCTCTGGTGAATCCTCTCAGCCCCCACATCTCTGACGTACACCCCAGTTCTTGTATGCATAAATAAAAAAAGTAAATCTAAAAAAAAAATAAGTTTCTCCATACCATACCACCACTTCTCTCAATCATATTTGCTTGGTTTATTTTCTTCATGGTATTATTGTTATCCAAAAGGATCTTTTAAGTATTAATATTAATTTTACAGTTTCTTCATAATGAGAATTATTTTTGTCTTCTTTATTGCTAAAGCCCCTTTCACACAGTAAATTTTCATATATTTGTTGAATGAATTAATTTTCTGATATGCAAATAAACAGTTTCCTTTGAGGTACTGATATGAGTAAGATATTCAAGTCAGCCTATAACAAAAGTCTTTTTAAACAGTAGAAAATTACCTCCTCTGTGTTTCTAGAAAAAGTATTGGGTCATTGATTGTAACCTTGAGAAAAAAAAAAAACAGTGTTATTTGGTTTCCTACTCTTTTTTGAGTTGGCTTCACACAGTGAAACTTATTATATCTATAGTTATAAATTTCTTAAATACCAAAAATATTCATGAAAATATTCATAAAAATTGTTGTAATGAAAAACATACAGAGGACTTATTTGTACATCCTTTTATGGGGTCATCTTAAAAGTGAGGCTGCCATAGAAAGGAATTCTTTCAGCAATAAGTAGTTTATACACATTGGAGAAGGTCTAACATGGCATTTTAATTTCAGAATATATCTTACGACATCCTTCCCAGCTGTTCAAATCCAGTTATTACTTCTTCTTCCAATTACCATGGTTCCCAGAATTTATGTTCTCAATAAATGATTTCAAGGTAAGTCAAAAAAATAGTGTATGCTTGTTAATGAAAAACATTTTAAATAAATGCCCGTCGTTAAGAAAGTAAAATAGACAAATGCTAAAACTTAGGAAGTGCTTCTAAGGACTCATCTAGAGCTTGCTTTTTTTTTTTTTTTTTTAAATCATCTCTGTAAATTTAAGTGCCTGGTCCTTGTCCAATTTTTTTGTGAAAGAAAGTCTGTGCCCTTTAGGTTTACTTTGAGAGAACATCCTATGAGGGAATATGAATACCAGGGAGAGAGTTTGATAGCAGCAGAAGTGGAAGGAAGCCCTTGGTACAAATAAAACCCAGAACAAAGTCAGTATGCGGGTATTAGTATCCCATATACACCGACACCAGGAGTTACCACCTGTCTTTCTTGAAAGCCTGTTGGATGTTTCCTCTGTGTCCAACATGGTGTTAGGAAGGTTACCTTGAAAGAAAGAGTTCCTCGTACATCTCTCACAGTTTTTTCCTTCTTCTTCTTCTTTTTTTTTATGTAATTTCAGTGCCCCTATCAAATCTAACAAAATCTATCAAATCTAACTCTTTCATGTAACTTAATATCCATTCAGATTTTCTTTACTGTCTCCACTGTCTCCTAATTTAACTGTTTGAGTCCAGGAATCAAAGTCCGCATAGTGTGCTTAATTATTATGGCTTTTTCAAATCTCTAACAGCACCTTTTTGTTACTTAAGTTTGAAAACAAAACAATTCCTTTTGTTTCTTAATTTTGAAAAAATTTTAAGATTTTATTTAATTTTAAGTTTGATCTCTGTGGTTTATCTCTTGGGTAATTTTCCACAAGTTTTTGAAAAGCTATAGGATTTGAAGGTTTCATTTTAAGATCTGGGACTATCTCAGGGTCTGTGAAAAGATTATACTTTATGGGGTAGAGCCTGATGCTTTCTTAGGCCACCTGGCCAAGACTCTCAGTACTGACCTCCAGGGTGTATTTATAGGTTGGATTTTTTTTTGTTAAAATACCACTTTTTTATTGAAGAAATTTGATCATTCATCCTGAAGAGTGATCTGTAATTTAGATTTGACTGACTGCTTCATCATGATGTTATTTAACTTGTTCTTCTAAATCTTGCTTTTCCTAATTCACAGATGGTGCTGATTAGCTTGAACTTTAATTATACAAGAATGTTTTATGGATCGTGCTGTTTATTTCCTAATGCATCACTTTGGAGAAATACATAATGTCTAGTTCTCCAGTTTCAGTAATGTTGACACTAACCAGTGGGCTAGAAGTTATTAGCTTATCCAGTTCTTAACAATCTTTCACCAGTAAATTTAGTGCACCTTATCATCACACTAGATCTGTTATTACATAAGGGAGTGCTAAATGATAATTTTCTTGTATCAGTTCTTGTATAAAGAACTTTACTATTGGGTTATTCTGAAGTACATTTCACACAAGGATAACAGGAGAAATGCTTCATTCTTTCTCTTAATAGACAACTTCCAGGGTAATAGTTGGTGCCCTAGAAACCGCCAAAAATAGAAACAATATTTTCCGTACAAGTATATATATATGAATGTATATGTATACATATATCTTATTAATAATGAGCCTTTATATTTCATATTTATCATTTATAGTCATTATTATTTTTATAGACCAAATAATCGCATATTAAGCAAGTGAGGACCTACTTAGATTGGCTCCTGTGTTCTTTTGACAAATCCATTAGTCAGTAATAACTTGCCTCCTTCATGTTCTAGGTTTATTTTCTACTTCTTGCACCAAATCTGGAATCAGTCACTTATCAAAGAAACTTCTATTAGTAATTGGTATTTAGGAAGCACAGACTGGGTATCTTGTTGATTATTGTTACTGGGCTTTAATTAATTCTAGAACTTTCCTTTGAACACACATATTTTTTTCCAATGGGGGAAAAAAAAATCATGAATTCTTACTCATATATCCAAGCCAATTTAAGACTACTAGGTGTTTACTTAATTTCCATATAAAATATTTATAAAAACATTTATAAAAATATTTCTATAGTTCTAAGTTAAAACTCTAAAGCAAGGGGTATTCAGATCTCTGAATCTGAGATCTCACATCTCTGGTCCCTGTTTCTTCCCTCTATAACAGTTTCTTTTATAACTTTACTCTTCTCGAACAGTTAGTTTTGTTTTACTTATATATTTATTTATATTATAAAAATATAAGTAAATATTATGTATTTTTCTCCCTCTTAGATAAATGGCAACATACAATAAACACTATTTTCCATACTTTTTATTTTCACTTAACATATTTCCTAGAAATCACTTCATATTAGCATGTAAATTATTTGCATTGTTTCTTGGAGTACTAGGAACACATAATATGCCACAATGTGGCTATATCATCATTTATTCAACCAGTTCCCCACTGGTGAATATTTGACTAATTACCAGTGCTTTTCTATTGCAAATAATGTAATTAATCACTTCATGTATATATTGTTTCATATTTTTACAACCACATTTTGGGAGTGAGTGATAGCATTTTAAACAAGGATCCTAATTACTTTGATGAAAGTGGTTTAGAGTCATATGTTGAGAAATACTGGTGTCAAGTAATGTTTTTCAAGTTGTGGGACAGGAGCCATTAGTGAGTCATAAAGTACCATTTAGTGGCTTGCAATTTTAATTTTTTTAAAATAAAGTTGGACAGAATTGACATATTACACAGTATAGTAGAGTATAGTAAGACTGTTTAATCTTTTGTTTCAGATATGTGTATGTAAATGTATAAACTTAATATTATAAATGTGTTTGTTACTCTGTTGTGGTCAAAAGAAATCTGAACAACGTTGGGGGAAGTGCATTGGTTATCAGTAAATGGAGGATAAACTGTTAGTAGTTGGACTACTAGGTAAGGTCTTAGGATAGGAATAGTCTTTGAACTTGGCTTTGTAGAATGGAGAACAGGCACCAACAAGATAGGGTGTTTTTTAAAGTGAAGTGTAAATGGTGCATTGGAAGGGAAGAAGCCAGGAAAGCAGAAATGTATAAAAATGTATCTAAGAAATGGGCCCCTACCCTGACTAGAGCAGAGATTGGGAGTGGTCACTGCATATTAACCATCATTCCCTTTCAAAAGTCAAGGATTTAATTTAAAAACAGGTAACTGAAATGTTTTCATTATTCTCTTTCACTTAATTAGGCTTTGAAGCATCTGTTTACCAGTGACAGCACTGGTATTGGAAGAAAAGGATGTCGATTAACGACAGAAGATCTTGAAGCTTATATTTATGTCTTCTCTCAGCCTGGAGCATTAAGTGGTCCAATTAACCATTACCGTAATATCTTCAGGTCAGCATGATTTCTTTTTTTTGTGAAATATTTCATTTGTACTCTACACAGTCAATATTTTATTTTTATGGTTAAATTCACCTTTTACCTATAGTATTCTGATTTATTAAGCTGCATGGTTGTTTTTATTTATGTATTTATTTTTTGCTGCATGGTTATTTTTAAAGGAAAATTTCAAATTTGGAAAAGTAGAAAAAATAGTATAGTGGATTCCTCCTATAGTGGTTACTTGTTTTATCCATAATTCTGTCCACCTCTTCTGTCCCCTTGGGTTATTTTGAATATCAGAGTATTGTTAACTTATTTTAGTTAGATATATTTAATTATCATTTACTCATTCAAGAAATATTAAGCACTTTCTATGTTCTAAATCATTCCCTCTCAAGATACTGTAATGAGCTAAACTAAACAAGGTCCCTAATCTCATAAAAATTTGTAGCAAAAGCACACATCAAATAACCATGGTAATAAATACAATGTTATAAATTAACATAAGGACTTTTTGAAAAACTTGCAAGCCTCCCACACATCTGAGGCATTCAGCAGGGGAGGAGGTGGGAGAGAGGTCAGAATGGGGAAAGAATGCAAGGGACTGTGATGATAGATCACGGGTGCTATGGTGGTGGGAGAACTATGAGGACTACATCTGAGGGGAAAAATCAGATATTGTACAAAAATGAATAATGATGTAAGAAAATAAATTTATTATAAAAAATCAATATAAGGAATTTTAAAGAAAGGAATAAGGACTGAAGAAATGTGTTTGAACAAGGAAATGAATAACTAGATAAAATTGGGATTGAAGCATTAGCATTCCAGAAAGAAACAGCATATACCAAAACCAGGTGGGAAGATGGATATTATTTCAAGTATCACAATGAGTGCCCATGTGGCTGGGGGACCTACTGAAATAAGGGTAGGAAGAAGAGAATCGAATGAAAGGTAGCAGTGATGGCACAGAGCCAAGCCAGCCACGTTAAGGAGCTAAGAGCCACAACTTTGAAGTCAGCGAATGAAAGTTTCAAGCAGAAAAGAGAAATGATGCAATTTGTATTTGGATTCTGGAGGAGTGAATGTGGGAAACTGAAGCTGTCCAGGTTAAAAATGAAGGTAGTTTGAACTAGTCTGAAAGCAGAGATGGGATGTGGGGGTAGAGTTTGAAAGAGTAAAGGTGACGTGGTTTTGTGATGGGTTGGTGGAAGGATGAGAAGAAGGAAAATGTTGAGAATGACTCCTGGATTCGTGGCATGGATAGTCATGCCATTCATTGACATAGAAAACACAAGAAGAGGACCAGTTTTTTGCTGTTAGTGTAGTTGCTATTAGAGATTAAGTTTGAGGTGGTGCCTTTAGATAGTCAAGTAGGCAGTTAGATACAAGAATCTGGAACTCAGAGAAGAGGATCTGGAATGAGTTATAAAATCTTGGAGATAACAGTGACAGCTGAGACTTTCATTTAAGAAGAGTTTATTTAAAGAATGTCTACAGAGTAAAAGATAAAACATGGAGGTTTGTCTGGTTTGGACTCTAGAGTAAATGGGAAGATTTCTCTTGAGAATTAGAAAATGTAGTTTACCTTGAAAAGGATTAGGGAATTGAATTTATGCTACTTCCATAATACTGGAATCCTCAGGGAACAAATTATATTTTTACATCATCTTAGGCTGGTAAGATTCCCGAGGAAGCCTGGCAGACACCAGACAAAACCTCCCTGAAGGATACATCTCAACGCATGTTGACAGTATTCCCATATAAAGATTAGTTTATAATCCAAATTATAAAAACATCAATCCCCCACCTAAACAAGTTCTACAACTTTCAAACTCCTACAAATTTCAAATAATAGAACTAAGAGAGACTACAGTTGTATTTAAAATATTAAATATATGAGAATATTTAAAAATGAGAAAAACTGAAAAGAGCTAGAATAAAAGAGAGCTTGTAGAAATGAAAAATGTGGGTATGCATATTGAGACAGACTGGAAAGAGCTAAAAAGAACTTTTGAAATGAAAAATATCGATATGAATAATATCAAGACAGATTGGAAAGAGCTAAAGATGAACTAAAAGAACTTTTGAAATGAAAAATATTGTTACTAACATCTAAAATGAGTTATAGAGCCTATCAGATAAGTTATGGAGAACTATGAACTGGAAGATAGGTCTGAAAAAATGTATCTTAGCTAAAGTTAATTAAGAGTTAAGAAATAAGGGCCTCGAGCCCTCCCTCGTGGCACAATGAGTTAAAGCACAGCACACAAAGCTCTCCACAGCCACTGCAGTACGAGTTCAATCCCCAGCCAGGGAGGTGACCCACATGGCCCAGCAGACCTCTCCTGTGTCATCCGCTCTCCCCTCAGCAGTGTGTTTCAGTAGATATGCCTGTTCTGCTCGCCACTCTGTCTCTGGTGAAGTCTCTCACTCTCCCCCACCCCCTGCACATCTGGCCTGTACCCCAGTTCTTGTATGCATAAATAAATATTTTTTTAAAAAAAGAAAGAAGGACCTTGCCCTCCCTGGTGGCGCAGCAGGTTAAAGCACAGCACTGAGACTCTAAAGCCGCCTCCGCATGAGTTCGATTCCTGCCTGCCCCGGAGGTGGCCACATGGCGTGGCAGACCTCTCCTGACCCGTCCACTGCTCCCCTCAGCAGTGTACTTCATCGATCTGCCTGCTCTGCTCCCCACTCTGTCTCTGGTGAAGCCTCTCACCACCCCTGAGCCTCTGGCCTGTACCCCAGTTCTATATGAACAAATAAATAAATCTTTAAAAAAATAATAATAATAAAAAAAAAAGAAAGAAAGAAGGACCTCGCTGGTGTCCTAGTGGTTAAGTCTTAGTGCTGTCACCTCTAAGGCCTGAGTTCTATCCCTAGTCAGGGAGTTAGCCCACATATGGCACAGCAGGCCTCTCTGTTTCACCCATTGCCCCCCCCCAACAGTGTATTTCAGTAAATCCACCTTATGCTCCCCACTCTGTCTCTGATGAATCTGCTCACCCCCCACACCTCTGTTTTGAACTGGCCTACACCTCAGTTCTTCATGCAAAAATAAATTAAAACAAACAAAAAAAGAATTAAGAAATAAAATTAAGATTAAAAAATAAAAATATAAAATGCTATATTTGACAGGGGTATAGAATTATTTACACAGATATAAAAGGACTATTAGAAATCATTCATGCTAAGACTTTCTTCCTAATAAAACAAAATAATAGAATGTATTCTTTCCAAACCAGCAGAGTAGGACAAGGAAGCTTTTGATTCTAGGAAGGGAAGGAGAAAAAAGGAAGCAAAGCGTGGTAAAAAGAAAATCCAAAACAATGTCAATGTTAGTAGTAGTTAAAAACCAAAATATCATCTTCATTACTAATGAAGAATAGATTAAATTGAAGAGTATGGCTTAATATAAGAACCCATGTTGATTGGCTAACATACTGTCAGTCTAGATTTTAGAGCATTTGAATGTAGGAAAGTTTGCAGAGCAAAACTACCTCCCTCACCTCCCACTAATCTGGTAGAGAGGAAAAGAGAGATTAAATTTCTTACCCTCAGAGATTTATTTGATAGACCCACTAGTCCCAGAACTCTGGAGAGCTGTGGCTCACAAGTCTTTGGAGGGCAAGGATCCAGGAAGGCTTAGAGGAAATCTCTGCTTCAAGGAAACAAGAAGAATGTGCAAGAGGTAACCTAAAATGTCTGAACATTGACATTATTGGCAATGGTAATAATCAATCTCAAACAAATCATTATTCCTTAGGCAGTGGTTCTTTAGTTTGTTTGAGTCATCTGGAGGACTTGTGAAAAACACAGATGCTGGACCCCACCCTTAGGGTTTCTGATTCAGCCGTCTGGGTGGGGGCCCAAGAATTGGCATTTCTGGCAAAATTCACAGGTGTTGCTGATCCTGCTAGACTGGTGGTTATACTTTTGAGAACCACTGCCTTAGGGTGAGGTGAAAAAAGCAGGGGTGTCAAGGAAAGGTAAGCAGAGAGATACAATTCTGTGTATAGTGTTTCATTTCTTGAGCTGAGTGGTAGGTATGCAGTTATTATTTTCTACATTTTCTTTTAATAAAAGTAATGAAATCATCCACATAAAATACAGAAATTCATAAGGCAGTGTATATAGTACGCTGAAAATCACTGCCTTCATACTTAGAAATAATTGACAGTTGGAGGAGCAGCATGTTAAAACTCAGACTAATTTGAAATAGGTGTCTCAAAATACATTTTGATAGGTTAAATGATTAGCAATATATACCAATAATTGTTACTGCTTGTTACAGATTTTTACATGTTTCTGTACAAAAATTAATTCGTTATAATCAGAGATATTTGATCAGGTGTTTCTCAGTAAGTTTATCAACTTTATATAATAAAATACACTCTTAAAATATTTAATGTTTTGACCCTCCCTCGTAGCACAAGAGGTTAAGGATACAGCATTGCAAGCTGGCAGCTGCTGCTTCAGTGCGAATTCCAGCCCCAGAGGTGATCCACATGGTGGCAGACCTCTCCTGTTTTGCCCACTGATCCCCTTAGCAGTGTGTTTCAATCTGCCTGTCCTGCTCTCCACTCTATTTCTGGTGAATCCTCTCACTGACCTCCCCCCACCCCACACACACCTCTGGCCTGTACCCCAGTTCTTGTATGCATAAATAATTAAATTAAAAAAAAAACCTTTATTAAAAAATAGTAGTCACAAGTCAAGTTTTTTGGTACCTTAGAAAACATGTAAGTGATGGAGAGTGTCTAATTAGATGTTTGTTCTCCTTCAATAGAATGCAATAAATACCTTCCCACTTCTCTGAAAGAACAAAACAAAAAAAAAACAGGGAGAAGAAGCAAACTTTAAAAATATTTAAACAATAGTCCCTCCTTACCCAAGGGGAATACTTTCCAAGGCCCAGTGGATTCCTAAAACCTAGGTTAGTACAAAGCTCTCTATATACTGTTTTTTCCCATTCATAATACTGATAATAAAATTTAATTTATAAATTAAGCACAATGAAAGATTAGCCACAATACCTACAACTAAACCCAGGGAATGTGAAATCACTCAGAAACTACACTTCCTGAACACCAGACCAAAGAAATTATCTGCAATGTCAACAAAGCTTTGCACACAAGTAGTTTTAGTAGCACCTCTTAAAACAAAGAAAATGCCTTCAGTGATGCTACATTCTAAATATTCAATTACAGAGAAATAATTAAGTCACTTTGGGTTACTGTACTATAAAACAGTATCTTTCATAATTATTTTGAAAAACCTTACAAAAATGAGAAAGATCCAGTGTAACTTTTGCATGTATATGCAGTATAGATTCTGTGAGTATGGTTTCAACCATTTACATAAAAGATAACCAAAAATTGTCTCTTGATAGTGGGATTATGCATGAGTTTATACTTTCATGTGTTTAAGAAAATATTGTCTTCAGTGTCGTAATTGGCTCATGTGCGGTATTTATAAGAAAATAGACAAAACATGTTTTAAAAAGAATCTTCTTGCAGAATATAGTATGAAGTAATCTAAAAGTTTAGCCCATCGACTAAGCATTGATTTTTGACTGACAATGCATTAGATATCTGACAAGAATTTAATACATACTAACCCAGTAAAATAGTCTAGAGCACTCTTTCATCACACCATTCAGAAATGCTGGTATCCTTTTAAAGCAAATTATTTCTTACAGTGATGAATTTCATGTTTAATTTATAGTCTTCATTATAAATTCTGCTAACTTCATACAATTAAAAATTTTATTGGACCTTTTAAATTTTTTATTGTGCAGATTGATTACCTAATGTAGTACCTCTTAACCATTTTTTTTCATCATCACCTCCCTAAGGAACCTTTTTAGACTTTCTTATCTGATTCTCCTTCATCTCATGAAATTTTAATATCTGTTTGTGCACTATATGTATATGCATGCTTTATGAATTAAAAGCATACATTTTTCACCTTCCCAAGAACCCAATTTTACCCCTTTTGCAGTGACATTGTTCTCCTTTGTGAACATACACCTGAATGAAATATTATGGAAAATCGTTCTTTTAACTTTTCAGTGAGTCTTAAGCGCTCATGTTCTGTTTTTGTAGCTGCCTGCCTCTCAAACATCACATGGTGACCACCCCAACATTACTTCTGTGGGGAGAGAAAGACGCATTTATGGATGTGGAGATGGCTGAAGTCACAAAGATTTATGTTAAAAACTATTTCAGGCTAACTATTTTGTCAGAAACCAGTCATTGGCTTCAGCAAGAACAACCTGACATAGTGAACAAATTGATATGGACATTTCTAAAAGAAGAAGCAAGAAGAAGGGATTGACTTTTCTGTATCTTTTATGTGGGTTCTGTAATGAAATCTCTAGATAATTTTTAAATTATTAATTATTGTCAATATTGTCCATCAATTTCTTTAAGCTTTATTAGGAGAAAAAAAAAAACTCAGTATGCTTTCTCATAAATGTCCTGACAAATGCTATTGGAATCTGAGAATGTGTGACCATATAATGTGATACTGATTTTCTTCTGTTATGTTTTGCACAGAAAAGCATCTGCCTTAAAATGTAACAATTCTACAAAAGAAAGTTGGAAAAGTGGCTCAATTTTGTTTTCTTGCTTTCTTTACCCTGTCAACATATGGTGCCTTTACAAATGTATATTAAAGATTAGCTGTGCCATATAAAAGGCAAACCTGAAATGGTATAAATTTTTATTTTATTGTTCAGAAGTTCTTTTTACTCTTTTTTAACCATTAAAAAGTTCTATTATCAAATCTCTTGGATTATAGTATATTTGTTTGAAGGCAAATATGACTAATTAATTGTGCATTCTTAAAATGGGCCATGAGTACCACTCATATTGGAAAGATTAACAAAAGATGATGTGGAAATTCTCATATATATGTATATATATTTGTTAAACATTGCATGGTGGGAAGCACATCCTATAATTACTTGCTTTAATTCTCCAACTAAATTGATAAAAGATTTAGACAAAGTTATCGGAATATCCTTTTGTCCTATTCAATGCAAAAAGAAGTGAACACTATACCTCCTATGTACACTGTAGTATAAGTTCCAGAGGATAGAGATTTTAAAAATTGCTTTAACTTACATATGTCTAGCAGCTAGAAAAATGACATGGTTCATTTCAGACTCTCAAATATTTGTTTAATGAATAAATAATATGACTGATAACTGCTAGACATTGTGAGGAAACTACTAAAGAAAGATGATGTGTAATATGGAACATTCCCTTAAGATGTATACTCAGAATGCAGTTAAGTTAAACAAGGATTAAAGAATAGAAATGAATATTATAAAAGAGTGAGAAAAGAAGTACAGAACAGAGAGGGATACCAGCTCAAGGGACTTGTACTCATTCTCTCGGGTTGCTTTCCTTGGGCATGTAGAAAACCAATAACATCGCTGAATCATGGCTCCTTAGAAATGACAACTATATTAGCAAATATAACTAAAATAGTAAAAGGAATGTTTCCCTCACCAAGCATAATTCTGATAGCAACAAAAGAAAATGGAATGTCCTTAAGAATTCTCACTGTATCCTAGCAACTTTTATACTAATGAGTAACTGAGTTTTCTGTATACATTAAACTTGTGCCTCTTAACAAGATTGCAAGGTAGGTAGTATAACCAATTTATAGAATGGAAATGTGGTTGGCCAGTGTTCACAGTGTGAACATTGGAGCCAGGATCTGAATTAATAAGCCCATGTGATTGTGAAGTCAATCATTTCTATTTAGTGCCATTCTGTTTAACAGGTTCTGGTATCCACAGGCTTTTCCTGTTTTATTGGTAACCTGATGTGCTCCAATAAACAGAAACATCTCTTAGCATCCTACAATTGAACTTTTAATTCTGGGAAAGGGAATTTAAATTAGCAATTAGCAACACAGAAATTCTCTACATAGCATTTTCAGAGATGCAAATGTTTCAAGGTATAGGAAGAAGCCTGGTTCCTACCAACTCTGATTATGCTTGCTCAGGATCATTTCCAAAATGATCAAGCAACAAAGGAAGGAATGGGATTTCCTGTGTGTGTTGACCCAATAAAATAATCCTGAGTTAACAAAGTCCTGTTTTGACAAAGGTGATTTTAACATCTGTTGTTACTATTGTTAGTTTGAAATGCTGCGGGTTCATGTAGACTAACATTAAGAACATGAATCAAATATGACTTGGCTAATTCTGGCCTATAATAAAGAATATATTCTAGTTTCAATGGACATGGAAGATTGTAACATATGAAGGTCCAAGGGTGCCATGAATTAAACCTCTTAGCATAAAACTCTATCACTGTCAGTAGAAATCAATTTGTAGTAAGAGTAAGTGAATTTCACTTACACACGGTAAGTAAGCTTGACTGGTAATGATATTTGGATTTTAATGTAATCAAGTGTCATGTCTTTAAATTACATTGATATATAATATTCTTATTAACTATATCAAACGAATATATACATGCCAGAAACTGTGTGAAAATCACTTACTAAACATATGTGCTAAGGAAAATGTTTGCTACCAAGAAAAAAGATGACTGTTGATACTCTTGTACTTCATTTACCATTTTGAATAATTTCTGATTTTAAAGGTAACGCATCATTTCCTGTGCATGCCCAGTGGCCGCTAAGTGTTCTAATTATGTGCGACAGAAAGAGCACTTGCAAATGAGGAGGTAGACTGTGGGTTCTGCCCCCAGATGCAGACTCCGGCAACCCCAACCCCTGAGACAACCGAGAGGGATCCTCATGGCTGATTTGCACTCTGCGGATGATGAGCCGGAGGTGTGGCCGCACACATTCAGACAGGACAGAATCTTGTCCTTGTACCCGCCGGCGGTGGCCAACCCCTTCCTGCAGGAGACACACCTCAGCGCGTGGCGCTGGCTCCACACCATCCTGCTGGGGGCTGTGCTGGTGCCGCTGCGGGTATCCTGCATGGTCTTCCTCTTGCTCTTGTTCTGGCCAGTCACCGCTTTACTCGCCACTGGCATAGCCACTCAAAAAGCCAAGCCCATCAGGCGTTGGAGGAGAAGACTGTTGAAACCAACCGTCAAGGTCTTGTTTCGGGGGATCTTCTTTTTGTCAGGGTTCCTAGTGAAAGTGAAAGGGAAAAGGGCGACTCGCACTGAGGCCCCCATCTTCGTCACCGCGCCGCACTCCACTTTCTTTGACGTCATCGCCTGCTCGGTGGCGGGATTGCCCTCGGTGGTCTCGGCCAGCAAAAATGCGAAGATTCCACTGGTTGGGAAAATCCTGCTGTCACTGCAGCCGGTCCTCGTGACTCGAGAAGACCCCAATTCCAGGAAGACGACCAGGGAAGAGATCCTGAAGCGAGTGACATCCAGAAGGAAGTGGCCACAGTTGCTGATTTTCCCGGAAGGTGTGTGTACCAACCGCTCCTGTCTGGTCACTTTTAAGCTAGGAGCCTTCACGCCAGGGGTCCCTGTGCAGCCAGTGCTGCTCAAGTACCCAAACTCCATGGACACGGTCACCTGGACCTGGCAGGGGTTTACAGCCTTCCAGGTCTTGATTTTGACCCTGAGTCAGCCTTTCACCAAGATAGAAATTGAGTTTATGCCTGTTCATGTTCCAAGTGAGCAAGAAAAAAGAGACCCCGTCCTTTTTGCCAATACAGTGAGGATCAAGATGGCAAACGCTCTCGGGTTGCCGGTCACAGACCATACCTATGAAGATTGCAGACTGATGATTTCTGCAGGTAATCTTCAACTTCCCATGGAAGCTGGTTTGGTGGAATTTACAAAACTGAGCCAGAAATTGAAGTTAGACTGGGATAATATTCATCAGCATTTGGATGAGTATGCTGCAGTCGCGGTTGCCTCAAAAGGAGGTGTGATAGGAATTACAGAGTTTGCAAATTACCTAAAGCTCCCAGTTTCAGAGCCCTTGAAACAGCTTTTTAACCTCTTTGACAGCAATAATGATGGCTACATAGACTTCAGAGAATACGTGATTGGTCTGACTGTCCTATGCAATCCTTCTAACACTGAAAAGATTCTGAAATTGTCATTTAAACTTTTTGATCTTGATGAGGATGGTTTCATAACAGAACAGGAGTTAACCGCTATACTTCGGGCAGCTTTTGGAGTGCCAGATCTCGATGTTTCTAAACTCTTTCGGGAAATAGCTGGCAAGAAGTCAGACCGCATTTCCTACAGGCGCTTCAAGAGATTTGCCCTGAGGCATCCACAATATACCAAGTTATTTAATTCCTACTTAGATCTCCAGGCAGCCTATATATATTCATTACCATAGTAGGGTTTAATCACTGTATTCAAATGGTAAAGTTATTCCTGAAAAATGCAGATGTACCTTCCAGGTAGAAAGTATGATTGAAATAAAAATTATCTTTTGAGAAAAAATACAATAGTTTTTACTCTAAATGGCTGAACATTTGATTATAATATTTAAAATGTGATTGGGGAATATATTTACATATATGTATATTTTTTAAGATTTTAAGTTTAGGCATACAAGAATTGGGGTACAGGCCAGAGGTGGGTGGGAATATGTGTGAGATGCTATACCAGAAGCAGAGTGGGGAATAGAACAGGCAGATTTACTGCAGAGGGGAGCAGTGGGTGAGGCAGGAGAGGTTTGCTGTGCCATGTGGGTCAGCTGCTTGGCCAGGAATAGAACTTATGGTACA